AACTGGAGACCATCATGTTAAGTGAAGCAAGCCAAGCACAGAAAAATGAATAACGCATGATTGCACACATATGTGGAAGCTGAAAAAGAAGTGATTCTCATGGAAGTAGAGAGTAGAATGAAGGGTACCAGAGGTCCAAAGGGGAGGGGAGCTGGGGCGGTGGGGAGGTGGAAGCATAGCAGAGGGAAGCTGTGCTATGTACCCTAAGTGAATGAATGTACAGTATATGTGTGTATTGAAAAAATACACTGTACCCCACAAATATATACAAATAAATATTAAATCAAAAAATAAGTAAATAAAATAATGATGAGCTGTGCTATGTACCCTAAGTGAATGAATGTACAGTATATGTGTGTATTGAAAAAATACACCGTACCCCACAAATATATACAAATAAATATTAAATCAAAAAATAAGTAAATAAAATAATGATTATTCTAGCATTTAATGACCATCTAGTTGGCAAAGAATTGATATAAGGTTTCATGTATATTATATCTAGAACTACGCATATGCAAACTTAAGAGTAACATGTTACTTAATATTCAAAATATTCCCTAGCCATCACGTGCACCTGTTTTGATTGTGAGTACTGCACTTATTCATGAGTACCTTCAGAAGCATAAATTGAAACCAAAGAAAAGCAAGAAAATGGGTGTTCATTCATACTTGAAAATAATACATTATTATTCAATAATTTGTAGTATTTCTGCTGTTTAGAGGAAGAACCTGTCAAGTTAGTTTGTCCTTTCTCTTACTTAACTGCATCCATAGCCCAAATTCCTCCCTGCACTACAAAGCAGTATCTATTTCTGTTGTCAGCAGTGGCACAGACTGCAAACCTTGGTAGCATTTGGACACAGTCATCTTTTGTTTATAGGATATAGGACAAAAATGATCCAAAATGTTTCTCTGGGGCTTAGAGGGTATTAATCATAAGAGTAGGTGATGTTAGTCACAGAGAATATCTTTAGCATTCTCACTTGCCCTGTACCAGCAACAAGTGTGGGATCACAAGTGACAGAGAAGTCTATATGATACTTAATTTTTGAGTCTGTATTTATAATAAGTTGAGTCCTCTAGATGTGTGGGTCCCAGGCCAAGGGTCTCTCCTTGTCTGGGTTTCAGGGTAGTATTGTGTTAAGTTTCATCCTATGAGTTTATCAAATAATGTTTTCTCTTAAGATGTGAAGGGATACTAGACATCTGAAGGGAAAGGTGGGAGAGCCAACACTGAATGGTGAAAGAGGGTGAAGTTTGGAGGGATGTGAAGCAAAACATCATTGTACTCATAATTTTGTTTGGGCGTTAGCCCTAGAAATATGAGTTTACTACTCATTTCTATGTGAGTACATGGGTGTGTGTGGCTTTCTCTCTCTCTCTCTCTCTCTCTCTCTCTCTCTCTCTCTCTCTCTCTCTCGGTTCTACAAATTGTCTTGAAGTAATCATTGTTCAGATAATTTAAAGATGTTCGATTAGGGAGTGTGTTCTCTCCTTTGTTTACCATTGGGATTTAAGTCATTCTATAGTCAGGATTTGGAAAGTAGGAATGCCCTTTATTTGTTTATAACAATCTAAATGCTTCAAATAGAATTATCAAAATTTATCCTAGAATGTAAAGTATAGAATGTTTCTACCATAAACCAAAGCTTTTAGCTTAAAGGAGACTCACAGACCTCAACCAGAACTTCTCAGAGAGCACTTTCAAGCTGAATATAGTTAGGGATATTTTGGGTTTGGTTACGTTTATAGTTGCAACCAGAATTGGCCAAGATACCAATATAAGGGGGGGAAATTCAAAGATAAACATGTTCAGTAACATTATTATTTGTCTCTATTCCCCATTAGTATATGTCCAGATCACAACAGTTTTAGGCTATACTTTTTGAGCAAGAGAGAAAAAAATGTCACATATTAAGAAATCCTGTTAAAAATATCAAAAAAGCCACAGTTTAGCTAAAATTATTTAGCCATAATTTTAGCTAAATCTAAAAAGTGAAGAAGAAATCATATGGCTTACAATTTAGAGATATTTCATTTTCTTTTCAACTATCTTAATTCTTTAAGTGTTAAATAACCAGGCCAGAAATGCAATCTACTCACTCACATTTCCAATATTAATTGATGTTTATGGCTCCTAATTTGAGTCATATTTTATCAGTGCTTAAAATTTTAATTATTTCCATCACTTTGCATCAGGTTAAAGGTAGTCAAAATATGCAAGCTTGTAAATAAATAGAAAAATGCTGGTATGTTACTACTCTAACTGAGTAGTAACTCTCATCTTTTTTAGTAAGACACATTAGAACATTCAAGTTATTTAAAATTACTGCTTGACCTACTTGATGTGTGGGACCTAGGATTATTTTTGCATTTTGTAAAATTTCAGGTCTGCCATTAGCAATTCACTATGTCTTTACCTCTAATATATTATTTTCTTCCTTTTAGAAATTTGAGTAATAAAAGTAGATTGGAACACAGCAGCACTGTTGGCAAACCAAACTTTATTAAATGTTTGATTTTATCTGTCATAGAGCATGAAAAGCAGCGATTATGCAAGAGCACTGATTATATGAATTTACATTTCAAAGTAAAATGGTTTTATAATGAATATGTGCGTGAACTTCCTGCCTTCAAGGATGCTGTTCCTGAATACTCCTTGTAAGTAATGATTTTCAACCCCCTCCCCCAGTTTGTTCTCTATTTTACAGTCCTGTGAAATTACACCTGAATTGTGCAGCACTAAAATAAATCTCTTCACATAGGCTTCATTTGAATGCAAACATTTCTGTTATAAAATTAACGTTAAAAGATTTGCATGTCATTGCAAACCATATTTAATTGAATTGTGTTGCATTTTTCAAGTATGCCTTACTGAGATGTTAAAGTCAAAGAGAAAAAAAAATGTATAATAAGATATGACTTACCTGATGAAATTATTTCAACAGGCTAGAATGCAGATTTTTTTTTTTCCTTTGGGATAATGAGGGTGCTTATATATTGACCTGTATAATCAGATTTTCTCTTTAATTCAAACTCATGACTGTCTTCTAAATTCATATTTCTAAAATATAAATCATTATTTAACAGATAACTTTTTCATAAATATGCCTCTATCAAATACGTTTGTCATCACACAATCACACATGTAATTCTCTGCAATTGAAATGTCTCAGAATTCTATTTTATCTATTTAAGGTGGTCTTTCATATGCCAGGCACTGTGCCAAGTGCTTTAGGGCAATAGTGAGTAAAGACTTCACCCTAAAAGGAGTTTACCCTCTAGGAAATATTGATAAGTACAAAATTCATGATAAAGCAAGGTCAAATGAAATAAGCATAATTTAAGGAGCTTAAGTGAAGTGAAGGGTCTCACAGAAGAGACACATTCCCCCCTTATTTGGGGGACTCCACACAATATTTATGAATGGGGTGGCATTTGATGTAGACTTTGAAAAATTGGTCAGATTATAGCAAAAAAAAAAAGGGAGAAAAGTGCTAGGATGGAAATGAAAGTCATGAGGATAATTGTGGGGGAAGGAATATGTGGGCTCTGATCCACAGGAAATAGTGTTATTCCAGTGGGATACAGGGTACTTTTACAAAATTAGTAAAAGAAATATAGCAAAAGTAGTTTTGAACTAGATTATTGTAAATAAATGCTGTGGAACTTATTCAGTCCATATTCATCAGGCATTATGGAGTTGAAAGAGAAAGAGAATGGGGGACATAACAGAGATTTAGAAAGTAATGAGCAATGTAAAGATGAGATTAGAACAACCCTTTAATATAACTTTTCTCGTAGAAGTATGTAAGATGGAATAGGATAGTGGGACAAGTTAAAAGGCTGTACTATGGGGAGGGGAAGATATTGGTCAAAGGACACAAAATTTTCCATTAAGAAGGAGGAGTAAATTCAAAAGATCCACTGTACAACATGGTGACTATAGTTAATAACAATGTACTGTGTTCTTAAAAATTGCTAAGAGAGTAGATTTTATGTGTACTTACCACAAAAAAAAGTGTGTAAGGTAATGCATATGTAGACTCAATTTAGCCATTTCACAATGTATACATATGTTGTACATGGTAAATACATACATTTTTTGTCAATTAAAAAATAGAAAATATTAAAAATAAATAAAATAAAATTATTTTTATTATGTTAAAAAAGGCTACATCAATAATATAGAGTAACTGTAGTGAGAATACAAAAGGTGAAGATGGAGGAGAGAAATTTTGAAGAAAGGATTTATAGAATTTGTCAACTCAACACATATGGGGATTTTTAAAAAAGAGGAAGAAGATAAACATGAAGTATGTGTGCCTAAGCACTTAGTAGTATCATTGGGAATAGGGAAGTAAAAAGGAGTTATTTTCCAGAAATAGCTGCTTCTGGCTCTGTCTAGACTTACTACACTTAGCTAAAATCAGACTAATATGCTCATTAAAGACCAACTATAAAAGCAGAATAAAATTAAACATATCAGACAGCAACCAAGGCAACCAGGAATTGAGAAGCTAAGATCCCAGAGAAAAGAGAAACGTACTAAGGTAAGCCTTTATCTGCTGCAGCTTTTCTCCCATGCTCCCCACCCCCATATGTTTGCCAATTTGCAATACAAGGCTTGGAGGCCAAAAAGCCAGCAATAGCTCAGACTTCATAGCAATCTCCCTTAGCTGGGGAAACAAATATTAATGCTCAAGGCTATGAAGACTGCTTGGATTTATGGGACCAAGAAAAGGAAACTACAGAGACGTTTGCACAAAACTCTGCATGCAATTTCCCCTTCAAGCATTTTTTGATTCCTATTCTGCTCATATATGGAGATTGAGGCAGACAAAAACAAGTATAAATAGGCAATAAGAGGTTTAAAATTTAGTAGAGATGGCAGTCTCACAGTGAGAGAGGGACAAAAGTTAGAGGTCAAGACTTGTTAAGAAAGAAGGAACTTCATAAACACCCCAGGCTTTCAGGTAAGATGCCTAAAGGGCTCTTGTCTAGAAATAAGGACAAACTGGAAACAGACCAACCTAAAACCCAATCCATCTAGATCAAGGTGATATCCCTGCATTCTTTCTAGAAGGAAAAATTTAAATCCTCTTTGGAGGAAATGATTACACATTTTTTATAGACAATGTACAATATTCAACAAAAAATGAAAGGCACCAGGCAACAGGACTGAACAGCTACAACCCAAGAGAAAAAACAAATATTAGACTTATCAGACAAAGACTTTAAGGTATACTTTAAAACACTGGAAAACTTTGACAAAAATGGAATTTATAAGAAGAATATAATGGAAACTATACACCTGAAATAAAATGAAATTATAAATGTAATAGATGAGCTTAATGTCGGATTATGTACAGCAGAAGAGGAACTAAAACAACTGGAAGATATTTTTGGAGAAAATATTCATATAGAAACAGAGAGAAACAAAAAAATGCAAAATATAGGAGGAAAAAAGAAACAAAGGATATATGAGACAAAGTACAAAGGGCTAATGTACAAAGAACTGAGTCCCAGAAAAGAAGAAGAGAGAAAAAATAGTACCAGAGCAATGTTTGAAAAGATACTAGGTGTGGATATTGCAAATAGAAGTTCCATAAATCCTAAGCAGGATAAATGTAAGGAAAATTCCCTGTAGGTACATCATAGAAAACTGCTTAAAATCAAAAAGAATGGAAAACAATCTTAAAATGTATCAGGCTCAAGGAAAGGAAAACACTTTACCTTCAGCCATAAATCCTAAGCAGGATAAATGTAAGGAAAATTCCCTGTAGGTACATCATAGAAAACTGTTTAAAATCAAAAAGAATGGAAAACAATCTTAAAATGTATCAGGCTCAAGGAAAGGAAAACACTTTACCTTCAGAGGACCTACAGTGACTGTTGACTGATTGTTTATAGAAGCCACTGAAACCAGAATACAATGCAATGACATCTTTAAAATGCTGAAAGAAAAGAACTAGCAACTTATAATTCTATGAGGATAAAAAATATACTTCAAAAAGAAGCAAAATAAAGACATTTATAAACCTCAGAAACTGAAAGAACTCATTTCCAGCAGACCCTCACCAAAAACATATACTATAAGTCATACTTAAAACAAAAGAAAGGGCCGGCCCGGTGGCGCACTGGATAGTGCGCCGCTTGAGAAGCGTGGCGGCGTTCCCGCCCGAGGGTTCGGATCCCACATACAGACCGGTTCCCGCTCACTGGCTGTGCGAGGCGCGGGAGCAACACTGAGGGTTGTGATCCGTTGCCGGACACGGAAAAAGACAAAAAAAAAGAAAAAAAAAAAGAAAGAAAGAAAAATGACTCTGGGTAAAAATATAGTAATGTAGGAAAGAATTAAAAGCATTAAAAAAAGTAAAAAAAAAAATTAGTAAATTTCAAAATATGTTAACTTGTTAAAATAAAAATAATTTTCTATAAAATAAAACATTTAGAATTGAAATACAACAATACCATGAAAAAGTGGGAGAGGGTTAAATGAAGTTAATTAGATATATTGATTATTGTTATAAGATATTTGAATTGGTTGGAATGTATAAAATACTACTTTTAAAAAGTTCCTAATACATAGTGGATGTGTGTTGTAATCTGCAGTGTAACCACTTAAGGTCTGATACAATACTGTGTATCAATTAGATCATGGAGGTGAGGCAAGTAAAAAAAATATTTAAAGGCAAGAAAGAAGAATAAAAAGAACAAAGAGCATGCAGGAAATTTAGGGGAGGGGAAGTAAAGTGGTAGATTGAAAATTAAATATGAGAGTACTTCAAAAAGTTCCTGGAAAAATAGAACTGAAAAATAATACAAACCTTTCCACAAACTTTTTGATGTACCCTCCTATATCATATAATGAAGTGTAATCATTAAATTTAAATAGATTAATACTCCAGTCAAACAAATATTTTTCTACTGGATAAGATAGCAAATCCCAGAATATCTTGCTTACAATTGATCCACCCAAAACATAGGATGTAGGAAGGTTGAGTAAAAGGATGGAAACAATAATTAAAAGAAAGTTGATGCAGCTGTACCAACATTAAATAAAATAGTCTTAGATTGAAATATTTCATGATGATTAAAGGATCAATTCAACAAAAAGACTTATCAATTCTAAATTTGTATCATATAACATATTGTCAATATACATAAAGCAAAAATTGTCAGAAATAAAAAGAAAAATCAACAATTTCACAATTCTATTCAGAGAGTATGCTTTTTCAGCAATAGATGGAAGAATCACACACACATACACACACAAAATCAGAAAGAACAAAGAAGTTTGAACAATATAACATATGAGGGTACTTCAAAAAGTTCATGGAAAAAATAGAACTAAAAGACAATACAAATCTTTCCATGAACATTCTGAAGTACCTTCATATAAGTATCTATCAGAAGAAAGTTTGGAAACAGCAAATCAAATCAAAAGAAAGTAGAAGGAAAAAAATAATGAATATGACCAGTAATAAAAATAAAACATAAAACTTAAAATAGGAGAAAATAGCAAAGCCAAGGTTTGTTTTTGAAAGAACTGATAAAATTTTTAAAAGCCTCAGCAAGGCCAATTTAAAAAAAGATGTCACAAAATAACATTGGAAAGGACATCATAAAGAGCCTACAGAGACAAAAAGATAAGAAAATATTTATGCCAGTATATTTAGAAATTTAGACAAAATGTACAAATTCCTGTAAAAATAGAACATATTAAGCTGACATCCAAAAAATATAAAATCTGAATGGGCCTATGACTATATTAAAAATTAAGTCCTTAATTAAAAATCATGTCACAAATAAAATCTCAGGCCCAGTTGGCTCCAAATGGAATTCTTCCAAATGTTTAAGGAAGAAATACCACCAATAATACACAAACTATTCCAGAGAAGGCAGGAAAATTTCTCAAATCATTGTTTGAGGCCAGCATATTCTCACTAGTAAAACCTATTAAGAACATGACAAATAAGGAAAGTAACAGGTCAATTTCTCTTATGAACATAGTTTAAAAAATAAAAAACCCAAACGAAATGTTAGCCAATAGGTTCCAGTGATTTATGAAAAGGTTAATAAAACATCACCAAAAGGAATTTTTTCTAGAGTATAAGATTAGCTGAACATTTAAAAATCAATCAATGCAATTCATCACATTTAAAGAATAAAACAGAAAATCCATACAATCATTACACTAGACACAGAATAATAATTTTATAAAATAAAACATCAATTTATTGTAAAAAAATTTTAGCACGTTAAGAATAGAGGGAAATAAACTCAATCTAATAAAAACATGCCCCCTTAAAACAACAAAACTACTAAAGATGCATTACACTTCTTGATAAAATTTCAAAACTTCCCTCAGATCAAGAATGAGACAGATCTATTAAGATCAGTTTTATTTAACATTGTACTAGAAGTCCTGGGCAGTGCAATAAGACTTGAAAGGAATAGAAAAGCATAATGATTATAAAAGCAAATAATGATGCTATCAGTATTTATATGTGACATAATTGTGCATTTAGAAAATCCAAAAGAAACTGCAAGAAAACTAATAGAATTTTAAAAGTAAATGAAGCAAGTCTGTATAAAAGTTAATTGAATTTCTATATTAAAGTCACTATTAGAATATGATACATGTCATACCACGACAGGGATTAATATCCATAATATACAAGGAACTCAAGCAATTATACAGTAAAAAAACAAAGAGCCCAATTAAAAAATGGGCAAATGAGCTGAATAGACATTTTTCAAAGGAAGACATACAAAGGGACAACAGGTACATGAAAAAATGGTCGACATCACTAGTCATCAGGGAAATGCACATTAAAACTACACTGACATACCACCTCACCCCAGTTAGACTGGCTACAATCAAAAAGACAGTGAAGAACAAATGCTGGCGAGGGTATGGAGAGAAGAGAACGCTCCTGCACTGTTGGTGGGACTGTAAATTAATACAACCACTATGGGAAACAGTATGGAGATTTCTCAGACAACTACAGATAGATCTTCCATACAATCCAGCAATCCCACTTCTGGGTATATACACAGAGGAAGGGAAATCATCATGTTGAAGGGATACCTGCACTCCCATGTTTATCACAGCTCTGTTTACAATAGCCAAGACATAGAACCAACCTAAATATACATCGATAGATAATTGGATAAGGAAACTGTGGTATATATACACCGTGGAATACTACTCTGCCATAAAAAAGAATGAAATTCTCCCATTTGCAACAACATGGATGAGTCTGGAGAAACTTACGCTGAGTGAAATAAGCAAAGCACAGAGGGATAAATACCGCATGTACTCACTCATAACTGGGAGCTAAGAGAGAAAGAAGCAAGGAAAGAAAGACCACAGTGGTGCATTGGACTTACAGAGGGAGAGAACATACCTTGGAATACAAAGTGGGGGGGGGG